ACACCAGAGGGGGCCGGACGGGGGGGAGGGGGGGGGGGAGGGGCAGGGACCACCAGGGAGGGAGTAACCAGGAACAGGGGGGGAGTAACTGGGGGACCACGGTGGGGGAAGCGGCGGTAGAAGGAGACGGACTCGTCAAAGGTGACGTCGCGAGAGTGAAAGAAGCGGTGAGACGGCGGGTGGTAGAAGTGCCAGTCAGACGCGTCAAGGGGGAAACCAAGGAAGACGCAGGGGAGGGTGCGGGCAGTGAGCTTGTCCGTGCCAGAGGCACGAACGTGAGCAAGGCAGCCCCAGACGTGGAACGCAGACGCGTCACCAGGGGACCCGGTCCACAGAAGGGTCGGCGAAACCTGCGGCCGCTGGGGGTGCGGCCACAGGTTAAGCTGGTGAGCGGCGTAGCGCACGGCGAACGGCCACAGAAAATGGGGTGCACCGGCATGGATCATGGAGGTGCGAGCGACCTCCATGACCAAACCGATGCGTCGCTCAGCGACCCCATTCTGCTGCGGGGAGTCCGGCAGGGTAAACGTCTGGGTGATGCCCTCCGCACGACAGAAGCGACCAAGGACACCTGAGGCAAACTTGCCACCCCGGTCGGAGTGGAGACGCAAGGCAGGGAGACCGCGGTGGACACGAGCAGAGACAAGCCAGGGGATGAGAACGTCAGGCACGTCGGCCTTCCGCTCCAGGGGAAAGACGGTGGTGTAGCGCGTGAAGTCGTCGACAAGCACGAGGAAGAAGCGCTCGCGACGCGGCCCATGGACGGGGGCTGGGCCCCAAACGTCCATGTGCAGAGTCTGCAGTGGTGCGATGGTTGGGGGAAACGAGGAGGAGTGAGGGGCACGGCGGAGCCGGCCCTCGACACAAGGCGTGCACGGGGGGGCGGGGGAGGAGGGAAACTCGGGGAACGAACCGGGGAGACCAAGGACGGGACCGTGCTGGGACAGGAGCACGCAGCAGCAACCTGGGTAGACGCAGCCACCTGGGGGGACGTCCCAGCCGGGGAGGTCGCGGTGTCAAGTGTGAACAGGCCTGACACTGGGTCCCGGGGGAAAGTGGTAAGGGGGACACCTGTGGCGGCCTCGGTACAGACAGCATACCGCTCGTGACCAGGGAACGTAGTGGTGACGCCAAGGTCCTGGAGGCAGCCGACACCAACTAGGTTCCTGGAGAACGAGGGGATATGCAGACCTGTGAGCGAACCCGAAGGAACCGCCGGACAGGGAAGGGTGGTGGAACTGCGGGCGACGACTGGACCACCGGAGGGGTCAGCAAGAGTAACTGCAGCAAGAACAGGCAGCGGCGTCAGCGTAGTGGAGTCGCGGAAGAAACAACGGGAGGCGCCAGAGTCCAAGGTGAAGGAAAGCGCAGCAGTGGCGCGAGGCGCCAGAGAAGCGGTGGAAGCACCGAGGCTAAACAAAGCAGAAGATCCTACGCCTGACGCAGCAGGGCAGTCTACGCTAGGCACATCTACACTAGGCAACACGGGGTAATAAGAGGGAAGCACACTAGAGTCATCAGCATACATCACATGCAAGGCTGCTGCAATGGCATCCATGTCCAAGTCAAAAATCTGAATGCTACGCCTAAGCAAACTGTGCCAGTCCGGGAGGTCGGGCGCCGGGCCAAAGCGCTTGCGGAACAGGTCGTCCAGGCGACGAAAGCAGCGAGGAGTGGAATGACCGATCTTACCGTAAACGAAGCCGCGGCGAGGACCGGTCTGGATCTGGTACTGACAGCGCCCACCTCCGGAACCACCACCCGGCGCACCACCACGCGCACGACCACCACCAGCTCCTGGCCACCCAGGCGGGAGGGCACTCGCCTGCCTCGTCTGCGGCGGCTGCTGCGGCTGCTGCGAAGGCTGCGGCTGCGGCGACTGCTGCTGCTGCTGCTGCTGCTGCGACTGCGGAGGCACTGGGGCAGCTGGACTGGGCAGGGTCCCCGCGTCCGCTCCAGCACCAAACGACCCGACTCCACCACCACCCCCACCCGCACCCCCGCCGCCTCCGCCGCTCCCAACCTTGGGGCGGCGGCCCTTCCCCGAGCGAGACTGCGCTGCAGCAGCAGTCTCAGCCACAGCGACAGAGCCGTCGGAGAAGGTACACTGAGCGGGGGCACAACCCTGAAAGATGGGGACCGGGACCGTACCGCTCGCCTGGGCGATGGAGCGGTGACGAGTCTCGATAACAGTCAGGGTGTCTACGAAGTCGGTGAGGGTGAGCTCAGCGGGGTGGATGCTAAGGAACTGGTCGCGGGCAGCAGCAAGGCGGTCAGGGAGGCGAGTGGCAAGGAGGTAGAGGGTAGAGGTCATGGGAGGCTGGTGGGCTCTAAGCTGTGCATCAGTGCAGGCAGCGCGCCAGGTCTCATCTATCGAGCGCAGGTGGGCGGCTAGGTCAGAGACAGTGGGGAAAGACGCAAGGTCAGGAAAGAGCAGGGGAAGGATCAGGCGACCCACGGAGGCAGCAGGGGGGGCAGAATAGCGCTTGATGACAGCATCGAGGTAGGCCTGAGCGGTAGTAATTGTCCTATAGCGAGGGCGCTCAGGGGGGGGATGGCATTGCTAATGGCGAGCTGAGCGAGGGCATCTCGGGAGAGCCAGACAGAGCGGGCAAGGGCAGCGGCGGCAGTGGACTCGCGCTCAGCGGGCGTGGGATCAGCGGGCAGCACAGCAGGGGGGTCTGGGCAGGGGAGCGTACCGTCAAGGTGGTCAAAAAGCGGGTGGCCGTCCTGCCGCTGACCAGTGAGGTGGCGGCGGAGGTCGGCCAGCCACGCCTCGAACTCTAGAGGCTGACCCTCGGCATCGAAACGAAGCTCCGCAGCCATCAGGAGCAGTGCAGGACGGTGGAGTGCGGTGCAGTGCGGTGCAGTGCGGTGCAGCGCGGTGCAGTGCGGTGCAGTGCGGTGCAGTGCGGTCCAGTGCGGTGCAGTGCGGTGCAGTGCGGTACAGTGTGGTGCAGTGCGGTACAGTGCAGTGCAGTGCGGTGCAGTGCGGTGCAGTGCGGTGCAGTGCGGTCCAGTGCGGTGCAGTGCGGTCCAGTGAGGTGCAGTGCGATGCAAGGCGGTGCAGTGTGGTGCTAAGCGGTGCAGGGAATGGGGGACCGTACCAGGAAGTATGTAGGGCCGGGGCAGGCGCGACGAGCCCGGGCAGGCGCGACGGGGCCGGGCAGGCGCGACGAGGGGCCAGGCAGACGCGACGGGGCCGGGCGGCTGCGACGGGGCCAGGCGGCGGCGACGAGGCCGGGGGGCGCTGCGACGGGGCCAGGCGGCGGCGACGAGGCCGGGCAGGCGCGACGGGGCCGGGCGGCGGCGACGAGGCCGGGCGGCTGCGATGGGGCCGGGCAGGCGCGACGGGGCCGGGCGGCTGCGACGGGGCCGGGCAGGGCGCAACAGGGCCGGGCAGGCGCGACGGGGCCGGACGGGCACGACGGGGCCGGGCGGCTGCGACGGGGCCGGACGGCTGCGACAGGGGCCGGACGGGCGCGACGGGGCCGAGCGGCTGCGACGGGGCCGGGCGGCTGCGACGGGGCCGGGCAGGGCGCAACGGGGGCAGGCTGGGGCGACGGGGCCGAGCAGGTGTGACGGGGCCCAGGAGGGGTTTGACGGGGCCCAGGAGGGGCGCTACGAGGGCCCAGGAGGGGCTCGACGGGGCCTAGGAGGGGCGCTACGGGGCCCTGGAGGGGCGCGACGGGGCCCAGGAGGAGCGCGACGGAGCCCAGGAGGGGCGCGACGGGGCCCAGGAGGGGCGCTACGGGACCCAGGAGGGGCTCGACGGGGCCCAGGAGGGGCGCTACGAGGCCCTGGAGGGGCGCGACGGGGCCCAGGAGGGGCGCTACGGGGCCTGGGAGGAGCGCAACGAGGCTCAGGAGGGGCGCTACGGGGCCTGAGAGGGGCGCGACGGGGCCTGGGAGGGGCGCGACAGGGCCTGGGAGGGGCGCGACGGGGCCCAGGGAGGACGCGAAGGGGCCCAGGAGGGGCGCTACAGGGGCCCAGGAGGGGCTCGACGGGGCCCAGGAGGGGCGCTACGAGGCCCTGGAGGGGCGCGACGGGGCCCAGGAGGGGCGCTATGGAGCCTGGGAGGAGCGCGACGAGGCCCAGGAGGGGCGCTACGAGGCCCTGGAGGGGCACGACGGGGCCCAGGAGGGGCGCTATGGAGCCTGGGAGGAGCGCGACGAGGCCCAGGAGGGGCGCTACGAGGCCCTGGAGGGGCGCGACGGGGCCCAGGAGGGGCGCTACGGGGCCTGGGAGGAGCGCGACGAGGCCCAGGAGGGGTGCTACGGGGCCTGGGAGGGGCGCGACGGGGCCTGGGAGGGGCGCGACGGGGCCTGGGAGGGGCGCTACGGGGCCCAGGGGAGGGCGCTACGAAGCCCAGGAGGGGCACGACGGGGCCCAGGGAGGACGCGACGGGGCCCAGGAAGGGGCGCTACAGGGGCCCAGGAGGGGCGCGACGGGTTGAGCGGAAGCGGTAGGTGGGGGGGGGGATCGTACCTACGCGTGATACCATATCAAAACTAGAAAATTGAATAGTGAGAGAGAGATAGTACACACAAATATACCTAAGTGTTGTACCCTCTAGGAGGTGACCCTATACAGTCTATACAAACACAACAAATACACATGTTTGACACTAGGATCTTTACTGGAATGGTAGACTAGTAAGACAGCGGAAGTCTTAGACCTTGTAAGTGTTGACCAGAATTTATTGAAGAACAAGTTGAACAAGTTAACTAGACAAATGAAGACAAGCTACTTTTTATATCTAACAGAGGTAGCTGTTCGCTAATGTACCTGTTTGACAATATCGCGCTATGCGCCCTAAATGACACTGAAGAGACGCGATTGTTCGCGTGACTGAAACGACTGTCCTCATGACGAGCGCTATTTGCTGACGTCATCCTACAGACTTCTTCTACAGTAGGATTCGACACTATCTACCGATAATCGACTTACAGAAATGCTAAGTATGAATTATATCACAACAAGCTGCATATCTTGTGCTAGTCATTACCCCTCGTCTAGCCTAGTGGGTGTGTTAGCATATACTCGTATATGTTTTAGGCTGGATAGGTGCATGTTCATAGAGAGTACAACACCTTAGGTTATATCCCCGTGTATCCCCTAATCATACTCAACTCATTACTCTGAGATCTCTCTCTTCCTAGTCGACTCTCTTTCCTCTTGCCAATTTCTCTCTACCTAGCCTAAACCCTTCCTGAGCTTATGAACACACTGTTCTCAGTTCTCAAGCCTCCATCTCCCACCTATCATCGTCGTCCACATCAGCGTCTTGACACCCGGCATTGTCAGGAACACAAGAAAGTGTCGTGAAAGGCCCTTCGCCTGACCCAATTCTCTCAGCCTTCCTTTTCCTCAAGCTACTTTCCTTCACCGAATCGTCCACACCTGCGTCCCCCCCACTGGTACAGTCATCTGCAGCAGCTCTCCTCTTATCTCGGCCATCCGCCCCTCTGCCCCCTTGCCTGTGCATCCTCTGCAGCAGCAGCATCCGCAGCTCCTTCTCCCTCTCCACCTCCAACCCCCCCCCCTCTCTCTGCCCTCCGCCTGATCGTTTCTCGTCCTTCTCCTCCTCACCCTCTTCTCCTCGCCCCCACTCTCCCCTGTCTCCCAATTCCCTGTGTATCCTTTCCTCTGTTGGTCCTTCACTCTCTCCATGCCTCCACTCTCGCCACCGACTCCCCCTGTCCCTCTCTTCTTGGTCCCGCCATGCATCTCTCATCTCTAGTTGCATCCCTCCCCTCTCCCTACCCTTGCCAGACCCCTCATTCTTCACCTCTCTCGCATCTCTGCTGCCATCTCCCCCTCTTTCCTCCCGGCCTTGTGAAACTCTGCCTTTCTCCCTCTTCCTGCACTCCATCTCCTTTTCTCCCTCCCAGAATCTCTGCCTCTCCCTTCCTCCCGTTCTCGCCTTCCCCTCCCTCCTATCATCATGCCTCCCCTGTCGTCCTCCCTCCCAATCGTCCCATCCCTCCCCATCACTCCACCTGCCCCTTCCCCCACTCTCTCCACCATCGCTGCCGGTCCCCCCCAACCCACTCTCTTGCCTTCCTCTCTCCTCTGACCACCGCCTACCTCTCACCCCTCTCCGCATCTCCTGCCCCTCCTCCCTCTCAGCGCGTTCCTCCTTCTCCCTCTCCCCAATCTTCCCCCTCTTCCCTCTCTCTACCCTCTCCTCCCACTCGTCCCTGTCGCTTCTAGTCTCACTGCTTCTGCCATCACCCCGCTCCCACCCCCCCCTGCCCCTCACACCTTCCTCATCACTGCCTCTGCTGCCCGCCCTCTCTCTCCCGTCCCTTGCATGCGATGCACTAATCTCATGCCTTCCTCTGTCCACCCTGCTCGCCCCCTGTCCCCCTGCTCCTCCTCCCCGTACCCTCTCCCCCTCTACTTCTCGACTCCCACTCTCCCCCTCCACTCTTCCTCCCATTTCCGCCTCTTCTTCCAGCCCTCCTCCCCTCATCCTTACACCTTCCCCTTTCCTCCCTCTCCTTCCCTCCCACCCCCCCTCAATCCCCCTCACCTCACCACCCCCATCAACCCTCTCTCTCCCCACACATCCCTTCCCTCCAGACCATTCCCCTCCATCCTCTTCTGCTTCATCCCTCCTCCTCTCGCCCCTCTCCCTTCCTCCCTCGCTCCTCGCCCTCCGCGCCTCTATCTCCCTCTCGTAGTCCCTCTCTCCGCCGTACAGCGCCTGCATCTGCTGCTGCCACAGCAGGGGCGGTGGCGCATCAAAGTCCGCCCACTCATAGTCGCCCTGGGGGTTGGGGAACGGGTGCAGGAACGGACAGGAGGGGCCGCGGGGGCAGCGCTGGGGGGAGAAGGGCGGGGTGGGGTCGGGGGGGGGGAAGAAGAGGAGGGAGTGATGAGGCGAGGAGGCAAGAGCAGGGGATGGGGTGAGCAGGAATTGGAATGGATGCAGTGGTGGGTGGTGTGGTATTCTCCCATTGTGATAGTTGGAGCTGGGAAAGGGTGCAGGAAGGGACAGGTGGGATTGTGAGGACTGTGCGGGAAAGGCCGCGCACAACACCCATGCACCCCAGGCACACCCCTGCAGCCTATTCGTTCACCCCACTCTCTCTCCCCCTCACTCTTTCTCTCCCAGGCAGCTCTTATCCAACCTCCTCTCCACTCCTCACCTTGCCCTTTCTGCGGTACTCTCCACAAATCGCGTTGCGCCATCTGTCAATGGGTGCGAAGAGACAAAGCAGCTGGGCGTTCAGAGGGCGGGAAGGATGGAGGGAAAGTAAGGGGAAAATGGAGGGGGGAGGGAAGGGAGAAAGGGAAGAAAAGAAAGGGCAGGAGGGAAATGGCGGGGGGGAACAAGAGGGAGATGGGAGAAGGGAAAGGGAAGGGGGAAAACGGAAGGAGGGAAAGGGGAGGGCGCAAAGGGAAGGGGGGAAGGGAAGGGTTTAAGGAAAAATGGGAAGGGGAGAAGCAAAGGGGAAGGGGGAAAGGAAAGGGGCGAAGGGAAAAAGGGATTTGGTGGGTTGGGGCGACACGAGGGGGGTAAGCAGGGAAGGAGGGGAAACAGAGTACCGCAATTGCTTGCTCATCAACGACGATGAAGCGGCCCCATCCCCCCCCCCCTTCCAACCCCCCCCAACGCGTCCCACGGAGACCTCCAACCACCTACGAGCCCCATTCCAGGCTCACCCACCCACCCACCCACCCACCGACCTGCTTGCAACCATAGAAACGGCCGCTCATGGCAGTGAAGACAGCAGCAGCAGCAGCCGGGTTAAGATAATCCGCATACACGTTGCCCCGCAGATGGGGGGCGGCGTTGCGACACACCTGGGGGGGTTGAGTGGGTGGGTAGGTGGGGGAGAGGGGGGGGGGAGGTGATGGGGAGGGAAGGAAAGGAGCAGTGACATGGAATGAGGTGGGGGGAGGAAAGAGGTGGCATGGGTGGGGTCAAGATTACCCACATACACGTTGCCCCGCAGGTGGGGGGATGCATTGCGACACACCTGGCGGGGGGTGGGTGGGTGGGGGATGGGGAGGTGGGGGAGAAAATGCAGGGGCGGTGACAAGAAATGAGGTGGGGGGGGGGGGAGAGGCAGCAAAGCGAGATGGGTGTGAGTAAGGCAAGGCAGGGAGGCAGGGGAAGGGAGCATCTGGGGAGTGCTGAAGGGAGGGTGTAACTCATGCGAATGCGAAGAGTGAGCCATTCACGTTGTTTGTGCCGTCTTTAGAGTGTGCCACAAGCCTTGGACATAGTCCTAGAGAGCAGCAGTGCGGGGGATGTAGCTCACGCAAATGCGGTGAGTGAGTCAATCATGTTGTTGTGAGCCTTTACAAGATGATGCATGTGGGTGGTATATTTGGCAACGAGGCAATTGCACACGGGCAGGAGAGGCGGAGAGAGCAGGAGAGGGAGTCAACAAACTGTAGAAATATGGGGGTATAAAGGGGAAGGGGGAGAGGGCGGGGGAAAGGAGTGAGGAAAAGGGGGAGGGGAAGGGAAGAGGGCAGAGGGGGCAAATAAGTGGGTGTAGAGAGGGGACATGAAAGAGAGAGGCCAGAGAACACAGCGACACAGGGCAAGGACTGTGACACAGCAGTAGCAGCACTGGCCTTGAAGTTGTAGATCTCCCCATACTTCTGGAACTCCGTGTGCAGATCTGCATAGAAGGCCTCAAACGACTCCTCTTCCTCGCACCCTTCCTGGCCCCGATCCTGGGCTCCTCCCTCCTGCCTCGCGTCCCCCTCCTGTTGCTTGATTCCCTTGCCCCCTTTGCTGTCCCACTCCTGGTCGTCATAGTAGTTGAGGCCAGGCGGGTGGGCAGAGAGCGAGGGGCGTTGAGCCTGGTGTGAGGAGAGAGTGGTGGAGAGGGGTGGGAGGGTGTGTGGCGTGGCTTCTAATGTGCGCATGGGAATGGGGAGAGATTGGATGGTAGAGGAGAAGAGAGGAGAGGAGAGGAAGGAACAGAAAGGAGACGACAGGAATGAGGAGAGGAAAGCAAGGAAGGGAGAGGAGGGAGAGGAGAGCAAGGGAAGGGGAAGAGATTGGATAAGAGGAGAAGAAGAGAAAAGAGATGACAGAACGAGATGAGACGAAAAGGGAAACGTGGGGAAAATAGTATAAAAAGTATTTGTAACTTCAGAAAAAAAAAACGTCAGACGGAAAATGACAGTAGAATTGTAGGAGGAAGTGAGAGGTGGAACAACAAAGGCAGAGCAAGGAAGCAGGGGTGCCATCGGGGGGAAGAGGAGTAGGAATAAGGGTTCGGAAAGGATGAAGCAGGGAGCTAGACGCCTTGAGTGGTCAGCTGATGGGTGCCACTGCCACTGCTGCTGCTGCTGCTGCATGCCGTTTGTGCTGCTGATGCTGCTGCGTGCTGCTGTGTTGCAGTGCAGGGCAGTGGTGGCATCAGTTGCGAGCGAGAGAGGCCCCATGGAGAGGCGGCGAGGAGCACTGATGGGCAGCTGCTGCTGTGGACTGGAGGTAGGTACAAGTGCTGGTCACTTTGCAGTGTGGAGATGCTGGCAGCTGGCTGCAGCGCAGTGTTGTTGCAGCAAGTGCAGCGAACCGCAGCGGGCCGAGTGATTGGTTGGTTCGGTGGTGGAGAAGAAACGGGTTAAGGATGGCATTGCTAGCAGAGGTGGGTAGAGAGACAGCAGAAATGAAGAAATAAAAGGGGCGAGTGGACGGGAGAGGGAGGAGAGAAGAGAAGATGGAGAAACGGACAGAGGCACTTGGAAGGCCAGGAGAGGAGAGAGACAAAGGAGGAAGGAGGGAAAGAAAAAAAAAACAATTTCTCCTCCTAGTCGTCTATCCCATAACTCCAGACTTGGCACTGGTGCAAAGCTGCACATGCACCCATGAAAACCCCAAACCCCCTAGTCAACCCCAAACCCCCTGGAACAAACAAGCAAGCAACCCCCAGTGAAACGAACCAACCTCTGAAGCGGCGACAGCAGAAGCAGAAAGACAGGAGGAGGAGGAAGAGGAACCGAGAGGGGGCAAGCCAGGCCCCTGGTAGAGGTTGGGGAGGAGGAGTGTGTGGGTGAGGTGCGGGTGAGGATATGAGTGCAGGCGCGTGCAGGAGAGGCCGAAGCGGCAGGCGCCAGTCTTGAGGAAGAGCGGGCAGAGGGGGGGATGCTGTGGGGATGGAAGGGGAAAACAGGGGGGGGGAGAGTGAAAGGGGGAGAGAACAAAATTGAGAGGGATACGGGGCTGGAAAGAGGGAGGATGGATGGACTGGCCAAACGAGCAAGCGGATGGGAAGGGGAGGGCGAGGAGGAGGGGGGAGGAGATGGAGGCAGCGGCAGTGACCTGGTCGCTGAGAGCGCTGCCGCATGCAGAACTGCCTGCAAGCAAAGCTGCTACCTCTCTCCCCTCCACTCCTCCTGGCCCTGCTGCCACTGGCACTGCTGGTATTGCTGACCCCCCTGCTAGCATCGCCGTTGTCAGTGTCTGCAGTCCTGGGAAAGGCTCATCCGTGGGAAGTGAAGATGAGAGCGGTAGTGAGGAGCATGCGCCAGCGGCTCCCGTTGCAAAAGCAGATTCAGCAGCACCCATGGCAGCAGTGGCGAGAGGAAGGGATGACGCCATAGCTGCTGCGGCCGCCACTGCAGCAGCAACCATAGTGACCGGTGCAGGAGTGGCAGCAGCAGTGGACGGAACGGGCATGGCAGAGGGCATGGGAGTGAATGACGGGGTGGAGAGAAGCGGAGCGAAGAGGGGAGGAGCATTGGCAGGTGTGGAGAGCAGCGGCGAAGATAGGAGGGGCGGCAGCAGGGACGGGGGTAGAGCCCTGCGAGGTGCAGAGATAGGTGGGTGCATGGGTGGCGGGAGAAGAGCAGAGGTGGATGGAACTGTGGGCTGCTGCAGCTGCTGCTGTTGCTGTAGAAGCACCGCGTGCGGTGCAGTGTGTGGGAGCGATGTGGTTTTGGGGCTGGCGAGTCGACATGCAGTGGTGAATGGTGGCGCGGATAGAGCTGGCTGCAGCAGGAAGGAGGGCGCGAGGGGAAGAAAAACACATTGGGACATACCCGATAGCCATTTCAGAACCTGACTCCAGCACATTAACACCCTAGTACCCTACCAGGCCAAAACACAGGAAACAGGTGCTTTTGTCTTCATTTGCCAGCACCCTGCTCCATCTCTCTCTTCCTAGCGGCAGTCCATGTGTGTGCCATACCTTGCCAGCATCCCCTGCTCTGCCTGCCACGCTTGACCCGGTCTCTTCACCGATGCTTCCTGCTGCCCGTACCACCCCTGCTGCCCCTGCTGGTGCCACACCGTCGGCCACAGCAGTGGCTGAGACAGGCACGGGCACAGAGGTGCCGTCCACCTCCCCAGGCAGCCTGTCGCCCTTCCTCCTTCTCATCTTCACCCGCCTCTTCCGCACGATGATGTCATCCCCCTCCCACACTATGTCCGGCACCCCCCCCACCTCCACCTCCACCTCCACCTCCTCTCCCTCCTCCTCCTCCTGCTTCTGCACCGCCTGCTGCGAGCCTGGCTGTGTCTTCTCCTCCCGTTCTGCTGTGTTTGCACCTGCCACTGCTGTGGCCGCCGCTGCTGCTGCGTCCTGGTTGGATGGGGGAACGGGGGAATGGGGGGGAGGAGATGAGGGGTTCGAGGTGGAGGGGGGGAGGATGGAACGTGAGAGCACGGGGGGATTGGAGCAGGGAGGAAGTGGCGGGACAGAGGGGCGCACGAGATTTGAGCTTTGCGGCACAGTTGAAGGTCGACGAGAAGAAGGGAGCGGGGCATGCAGCATCGCAGGCGAGCTGGAAAGTAGGCGATGCAGGGCATGCGGTGCAGGGCATGCGGTGCAGGAGATCAAGGCAGGCCATGGTGCACCATCATGCAAGCCTTCTATTCTGATTCCATTCATTTGCATGCCTTGCCTCTCTCATCGTCTCCTCACCTCTCCTCTCCTCTCCTCTCCTATCCTCCCCTTCTCCTCCCCTCTCCTCTCCTCTCCTCCCCTCCCCTCTCCTCCCCTCCCCTATCCTCCCCTCCCTTCTCCTCCCCTCCCCTCTCCTCCCCCCCCCCCCTCACCTCCCCTCCCCTCCCTGCCCTCCCTTCCCCTCTCGTCTCCCGCTGTCCCCCGCACGGCAGTGCACTCACTTCCAGCCATGCTCACTCACTTTCAGCCATGCTCACTCACTTCCAGCCATGCGCACTCACTTCCAGCCATGCTCACTCACTTCCAGCCATGCGCACTCACTTCCAGCCATGCTCACTCACTTCCAGCCATGCGCACTCACTTCCAGCCATGGGCACTCACTTCCAGCCATGCTCACTAACTTCCAGCCATGCGCACTCACTTCCAGCCATGCTCACTCACTTTCAGCCATGCTCACTCACTTCCAGCCATGCTCACTCACTTCCAGCCATGCTCACTCACTTCCAGCCATGCTCACTCACTTCCAGCCATGCTCACTCACTTCCAGCCATGCTCACTCACTTCCAGCCATGCTCACTCACTTCCAGCCATGCGCACTCACTTCCAGCCATGGGCACTCACTTCCAGCCATGCGCACTCACTTCCAGCCATGCGCACTCACTTCCAGCCATGCGCACTCACTTCCAGCCATGCGCACTCACTTCCAGCCACGCTCACTCACTTCCAGCCATGCTCACTCACTTCCAGCCATGCGCACTCACTTCCAGCCATGCTCACTCACTTCCAGCCATGCGCACTAACTTCCAGCCATGCTCACTCACTTCCAGCCACGCTCACACACTTCCAGCCATGCGCACTCACTTCCAGCCATGCGCACTCACTTCCAGCCATGCGCACTCACTTCCAGCCATGCGCACTCACTTCCAGCCATGCGCACTCACTTCCAGCCATGCGCACTCACTTCCAGCCATGCTCACTCACTTCCAGCCATGCGCACTCACTTCCAGCCATGCGCACTCACTTCCAGCCATGCGCACTCACTTCCAGCCATGCGCACTCACTTCCAGCCATGCTCACCTCTTTCCACCTCCTCCTCGCCTCCTCCCTCTGCTCCTTCCTCCTCTTCTCTTCCTCGATCTTCCTTTCTCGTTCCAACCATCTCCTCTCCCCCTCCTCCCGCGCTCTCCTCTCCTCGTCTTCCGCCTCTCTCCTCCGCCTCTCCTCCTCTATCCGTGCCCATCGCTCCGCACTGTCCCCTTGCGCCCGCCTCTCCCGCTCCTCCTCCTCCCGCGCGAGGGCTTCCGCCGCTGCGATCGCGCGTTCCCGCCGCTGCTGCTGCCTGCGCGCCTTCTTCGCCTCGCGCCGCCGCTCCTTGCGCGAGAGGCGCGCGGGGAGGGCGCAAGGCGCGGAACGTCCCGGCGATACCGCGGGGGTGGCGGGAGCAGCGGGAGCAGCGGGGGTGGCGGAGAGATGAGGGGGTGAGGAATGGGGAAGGAGGCAGTGACAGGGTGCGGAACGAGCGGAATGCTCGGAATCGGCGGGAGCAGCGGCTGCCATCCCGCCACCCGTTGCGCGGTTTCGACTGCTACCCCCTATCGTCCGCAGCGAGTGCAAGGAAGCTGCGTGAAACGAGCGCGCGTGGATCGACGTGTACGAATCTAGCTTCAGCCTGATTCCGCAGAAATGTCCGCTCAAATATTAGATACAGTACTGTGTTGATTATCTTCCTTTCTGGAGGTATACCGCATCGCGTACGTTGGAGGAACATAGAGCTCGATCTGCCCCCTAAGAGAGTGTCCGAAGTAGAGAGTTGATGCCAGCTAAGCTTAGCTGACGTCAACTCACCCGCAAAGCTCGACGTCAAATGTGGATGTCAAACCAGACACAAATCCCAACTTCGGACATGCTCACTCGCACAAGTCTGCCCGAAATGAAATACGGTGGAAAGTTTTCCGACCGTGCGAGTAAAAAAATGGGAACCACCAGCATACTGAAAGTTACCACGTCACATTTGCCCTCTCCACTCCCAACTATCAGCAGGAGATTCGCGAATTCGTTTCGGCTGGTTCGGTGGGTGTCCTACGGTGGCATAATTTCTGGGCTGCCCGCAAAGTTGTTGAAACAACTCAGTGTCACATCTGTTGTGATATAATTGATACTTAGCATTTCTGTAAGTCGATTAAGTGTAGTTAGTGTCGAATCCTTCTGTAGAAGATAAGTCCGTAGGATGATGTCAGCAAATAGCGCTCGTCATAGGACAGTCGTTTCAGTCACGCGAACAGTCGCACCCCTTCATTATCATCTAGGGCGCATAGCGCGATAGTGACGAACAGGTACATTAGCGAATAGGTACTTTTCGTAGAACTATAAATACTTGTTAGGTCCTTTTCATTATTAACTTTGATTACCCACAAGTTCACATACTCAGGTTATTCAACCTTGACTATTACATTTTACAAGACTTCCGATGTCTTACTAGTCTACCATTCCAGCAAAGATCCTGGACCAACACTTGAGGATTTGCCAAGTGTTCGTGCTTATAGTTTTATACTTAGTCTACTACAACACCTGTTGATTTATTTCATGGTATGAGAGCTATCTGGAATTAATACTACCGTCAACTATGACTGGTTCAACACCAGCACCATCTGCTGGATCAGTTGCTGGGACTACTGGAGCACAAGCCTCCACTACCACCGCTGGTCTCTCAGCCTCTTGGCATTTTCCACCAGCCTACGCTAATATCGATATGCAACAGCAGAATCCGCCTTCTGTGAATACTCCAGGTGCTCCATCGACTGCACCTGCAACGCAACAGCGACAATCACAGACAACAGCACAGCAACAAACATCAGTACAGCCACCAGTTTCAACGCAATCAATTTCATCTGCGTTCAGTGGAATGAGCCTTGACGGCTCAAGTTACATGCGTGGAGCAACAGCTCCAAGTACTGGTTCGTTCGCTTTCTCACCTTTCGTACAACAGCCGCAACAACAGCAGTTTCAGCATCCTTTCTATATCTTCGGTCGTTCCCCTGCTCAGCAACAACAACAGCAGTATCAGCAACCATAGCAAGTACAGCAACAGCAACAATAACAGCAACAGCAACAACAGCAACAGCAACAACAGCAACAGCAACAACAGCAACAGCAACAACAGCAACAACAACAGCAACAGCCAGGCATTGTTTTTCAGCCTCCAAATTTACTTAACAATACTCAGATCAAGACAACCGTACCTTTTAATGGTGTTGACTTCTACTCCTGGAGCTTTGAGTTTGAGCTTCTGGCGCAGTCCGCTGGGCTATGGCCGTTCTTCACTGGCGAGTTTACGTATCCTGTCGTGGGAACACAACTGGAGCAGCAGAGTTTCTTGCACGCCTCTCTCGGGGCGTATACAGTTCTTGTACGGAACTTGTCGCCGAAGGAGCAGCTCGGCGTTCGATCATTTCACTCAAGTTTCACACCAGTCGAAACTGCATGGAACCATCTGAAAGGGGTATACATGGCAAAGGATACGATAACAGTGAGTAAAATACTTTCGCAGCTGACAAGTGTGCAGATGATGACAAATGAAAACCTCATGGACTACGTTAACCGCGTCTGTACATTACGTGACCAACTGGAGAAGAGCGGAGGATACTTCCCTCGTGAGATGTATCTCACTGTCCTTCTTGCTGGTCTTGGACCCGAATGGCGACAGACGCGCGCCTTCCTGCGCATGAATCCCAACCTCTCCGAAGCTGAAATTTCTTCTTATCTTCAAGCAGAGCAGCAAGATCTAGACCTGCAGTCACAACGCAACCAGAAAAGGGGGGTTCATTTAAGTTTTTACTCCAATCCAGAAACACAGCATCGACATCCACCAAAGTATCCGTTCTGCCATTTCTGTAAGAAACCAGGACATACTTACCAAAACTGTCGCAGCCGTCATCAAAATCGTCGCAATACTTCGCAGCCGTATCAACGATCGCAGCAGTTACCGAAGACACAACAGCCACAGCAGCAGTTAACGTCTCAGCAGCAGCAGATGCCGAAACCGCCGCAGAATCCATCGACGTCGCAGCATCGTCCGCCGGTCTTCGCATCTGCCATTTCAGGAAAAGGGGTTTTCGGCTGTGTCACCACAGTTGATGTTTCAGAAACAGATTTCAAAACACGACTTGAAGAAACAACAAGTGCTGAAGGCATTCCTTTACCTCAAGTTTACGCTAACCTTGCTCGCATAATTTCAGGACCAAATACCTGGTATCTCGACAGCTGGTGCGGATGGCATACAGTGGCGGATTAAATTGTCCACATGTTTTGCCTTTTTTGGCATTTTTATGAGTGCAGAGGCGTATACATTAAGCCTTAATGTAAGGTGTGCATTAACGCTGAGAAGTTCAGTTAGAGCAGTCACTCCAGTGTTCAAACACCAAAGTAGTACCACACATGGTCCTTAAACTCCTAAGCATAGCATGGGAGAACATGTGGACAATTTGTACCGGAAAATGGTATCACACTAGATTCTAGGAAAACTAGTACCTAGTCCAGCGTCCCTTTGCCCGAATCACTGCCTTGATCCTCCTCGGCAGGCTGTCGATCAGGTTTGCACACACCTCCGGCGGTATCTTGTCCCATTCCTCCTGCACCCTCTCCCACAGCTCCAGCATTCCCCTTGGCGGCTTTTCGTACTTCCCCAGCTGCCTTTTCAAGTATGCCCACAGGTGCTCAATTGGGTTAAGGTCCGGGGAGCACGACGGCCATTCCAGCACCGCGTACTCCTGCTCCCCAAGCCAGTCTTGGACCAGACGACACCTGTGCTTGGGATCATTGTCGTGCTGGAAAATGACCTCTGAGGGGGAAAGCTCGAAAAAATCGATGGTCTGTTTGAGCTCATCTTGCAAGATGCTGCGATACAGCGGCCCATCCATCCTGCCATCTATCTTGCACATGAACCCCGCCCCCTCATACGTCATGCAACCCCACACCATCACAGAACCGCCCCCATGCTTAACTGTCTGTTGGACTTGGTGGCTCCGAAGGCTGGTGCCCTCGCGAATCCAGGCGTACGCACGTCCGTCGGAGCAGTAGCGGTTAATCTTCGTCTCGTCAGACCAAATCACCCGCTTCCAGTCCTCCAGCGTCCAGTCGGCATGCGCCCGCGCGAAGTCGAGACGATCGCGGATGTTTTTCGGTGAGAGCCTGGGTTTCTTGGGCTGATGCACGGCGATCAGCCCCGCGGATCGTAAAGAGTTGCGGGCCGTCTTCGAGTCTACGGCGAGATCGTGCTTCTCCAACAACATCTTGGCCGCGTCTGAAGAGCTTTTCGCCTCGCCGCTAGTAATCGCACGTATAACTCCGCGCTGGAGACGGGTTGTGATTAAGCGGGGGCGGCCGGCCGAAGGCATCGTAGGTCGCACCTCCTCGCGACTAGTCTCCTCAGCGAGTTTCATACCGTAATCGTGCACGGTGCTCTTGCCTATGCCAAGAAGTTTCCCTATTTTCCTAGTCGAATGCCCCGCACGCAACATGCTTCTGATCCTCGCGCGCTTCTTCTCATTTAACGGCTTCATAGCGATGCGGTCGTAGGCTCGCTTCCGGACTAACAACTAAGCTAGGAACTGGTGCGCGTGACGATGTACACACTGAGCGACGGGGGAAAATAGATCTACTCTTCCGCTCGGTAGGAAATGTCCACATCGACAGTCGAGTAGTAAATTTCAACCCCACTTTCCGTTAGTGTCACAATCGCGCCAAGCAAGAAACGGATGAAGCAGAACTCAAAAACCGAGTAACAGAATGGAAAAAAACGGGTGTTACTATTTTCGAAACATGTGTTGCATAACGATACGTTTCAAAGTGTTAAACATCCGGGCAATTTAATCCGCCACTGTATGTGTTCTGCTGAAACAAGCTTTATCACTAATCAGCGTCCACTTCGTCGTCCGATACCTGTCACAGTCGCAAACGGACAAGCGATAATGGCACGATCAGTTGGCAGTGTCATGCTCGAATCTATCGATACGGGATACTCACTTCATGTTACGAATGTTCTTATCGTCGCTGGTCTTGGCTTCAACCTTCTTTCCACGGCTCAACTCCTGGCACACAAAATCCGCACACAAGGAAATTGTGAGACGATGGATCAAGAGCTCTGGCACAGTACAACTAATACCTACCTTGGTCGTGCCGCCACTCAACATGGCGTGTCGGTACTTCAGTTCGCAGTACAGGGAACTTCTGGCGATTCTGAACGCGTCCTTGCACTTGGTCCCTGGGATCATCCAGAAGAAACAGATTATCAAAACGTGGATATTGACTTTCGAGCAGCTTCAGTACCAACAGCTTCTCGAACTGCAGCCGCCGTACTTACCGCGTTGGATACCTGGGAAATCAACACCGCCGATGAAAGTGCCACCGCGTGGCGAACGTTTTATAATACCCGTGCAGCCTTCCAAGGAACTCCAGCACCACTTTGGGGAGAAATAAGTGGTCTTGCAGCCGATGAACCAGACGTCGTTGAAGAAGCAGAACAGGAAGTAGTAGCTGAGCAGCCGAGTCCAACAGTAGCTGTCGCCGAAAAACCTGCCACGAGATCAACAGAATCAGCATCAAAAGTTGCAATCACAACTGTAGCTGCACCAACGACTGTTCCATTACCACTTACACGTTTCGTTGAAGGAGATGTTGACCGCTCACCAGCGCTATCTCCTTTTCTTATTTCTTCTTTTTATACTAACTCCGATTTCTACCTGCGATCATCAGGACACAAAGCACCCGCAGACATATGGCATCAGCGGTTAGGCCATCCATCACAGGGAATACTTAATCATTCAATCCGAGCAGCAGTTCTTGATAAGAATAGTCTACTTTTACCTGACGGCACGGAGATGAAGCCGCAGTCTCGTCCGACGGGTTGCACCACTTGTCCAGTTGCCAACCTTACGCACGATCCGTTTCCAAGTCATTTTCCCGGTTCAACCCGTTATAAACTGATGCAGAAAGTCTACAGCGACATACTCAACTTGTCTGAAGCAGGACCTAAAGACGAGAAGTATGTGATAACCTTCATCGAAGCGTCTCCACGCTATGTCTGGACAACCAACTTACCTGCGCGCCATCTCGCTCACTCCGTCTTCGTCGCATGGCTCGCTGTCGCTGAACGAGAGTCAGGAGTGAAACTGCAAGAATTTCAGAGTGATGGTGCAGGGGAGTACACCAGCAATACTTTCACAGAGTACCTTCAGACACTCGGCATCAAACGGAAGCAGTCACTGCCGCATGCACACCAACATATGGGGGTAGTAGAACAGATGAACAAAACTCTGCAGGAGAAGATGCGTTCTTTGCTGACGCAGGCAGCTCTTCCACCGCACTTTTGGCCGTATGCGATGGACCACGCCGTGCTGTTACACAATCTTCTTTCCTCAATGTCCCTGCCCGAGTTCTCTTCTCCACACCTGCAATGGACACGTACAATGGGGAGCACAAAACTTTTACGAGTTTTCGGGTGTGTCGTACAGTTTCGTCCTCCAACCGCAGCACTCGGAAATTTTTCCAAACGAGCAAAATGGGGGGTTCATCTCGGCATCGAAAAACAGTATCACACGTGGAAGATTTTGGATCTCCGGTCCAACCAAATCGTTCCATCACGTGATTGTCTTTTCTATGAAAGACTCACCTTGCCCATTTTTCGTGCCCACCAGGCAGCAGCTGCCAATCCTGCCAGGCTGTTTGAAGGCTCGCGCGCGTTTGCCACTGACGAGGCCGAAGCTGATGTACAGGACGAAGCAGTTTCTGAAGCATCCGAAGCTGCTGCAACTGATATTCCCAAACCTATAACCTCGACTGGCATACCAGAGTTTATTCCTCTTGCAGATGCTGACCCGGATGACGTTCGCGAAGTTCATCTCAGTTACGAACGTGATCGCCAACAACAGCCGAAGCCCGTCGTCTCCGACGAAGCAGTTTGTGTTACACCTGACGAAATTGGGGGGGAAGAAGGACCAGAAGAAAATTTCGCAGGTGCAAACGAAGAACGTCCGCGTTTTACAGAAACAGGATTGCAGATACTGGGATTTGCAATAGCAGTACAGTGCAACGACAGTAAGATACCTGAACCGAAAACCGTCCGACAAGCTCTTACGAGTCCTCACCGAGAAAAATGGCGCGAAGCCATAGACAAGGAGCTAGCAGCACTCAAGAATCGTGGCACATGGGATTTAGTACCGACTTCAGAGGTCAAAGGGAAGAAGGTACTTACCGGAAAATGGGTCTTCCGCGTCAAGACTAATGCAGATGGGTCGTTTGAAAAGTTCAAAGCGCGATGGGTCGTCCGCGGATTCGAGCAGACTTACGGCATTGACTATGAACTAACCTTTGCTCCTGTCGGCCGACATACAAGTGTTCGGATTCTTCTTTGTATCGCCGCCTGCCGTAATCTACGTCTTCGCCAAATCGACGTGTCGAATGCATTTCTCTATGCACCCGTCGACTCACTCATCCTGGTAGAGTATCCGCATTCTTATACTACTAACCCACCGAGTGTTTGCCGTCTACGAAAATCCGTGTACGGCATTAAACAGGCACCATGGCTCTTGCAGCAGTATCTTCACTCGCAGCTGATCATTGCTGGATTTCGACAGTTACCGCATGATCAGGGAATGTATCTACTGACCGACGGTAGCAACTACATTTTACTCGTTGCCTACGTCGACGACATCCTATTCGTCAGTACTACCGATTCCCTCGCTGATATCTTCATACTGAAACTACAGAAAAATCTACAGATTACCGTCTCCGCAACAGTCTCACAGTTTCTTGGTCTGAACATTACCTGTTCACCGACGACTATTCATCTCACCGCTTCGAAGTACGCAGCAACTCTCGCTGCCCGCTTCAACCTCACGCCTACTACAGTCTCTACACCGTACCGCTCACTACCGACTGACTACAAACCGAACACTGCACTGTTAAGTTCAACTGTTTTACAGATCTATCAGCATCAGTTAGGCTGTCTACTCTTCGCTGCTGTCACTTGTCGTCCTGATCTAGCCTACGCGGCCAGTCAGCTCGCTCAGTTCCTACGCCGTCCTGAGGAGGAGCATCAGCTTGATCTTCTCCGCGCGCTTCAATATTTTATCTCGACACCTGACGTCGGATTAGTCTACAATGTCATCGGTTGTAAAACACTCTATCTACACGGTTTTGTCGACGCTGATCACGCTGCTGATTCTACTAATCGATGATCGCGCACTGGATTCATCTACCGTCTTGAACCTATCGGACCTATTTCTTGGAATTCGACGAAGCATGAGCTGATTGCTCTCTCCTCTGCTGAAGCTGAGTTTATAGCTATTTGCACAGCAACACGCGAAGGACTTTACTTACAGGAACTATTGGACGAAGCGAAGTTGATGACAACTACCCAGTTTACCCTACAGTGCGACAATCAAAGTGCAATTCGCATCGCACATCAACCTGGTGTCGTCAATAGGACGAAGCATATTTCGCTTCGATATTCTTTCGTCAAAGATGAAGTCGAGAAGGGGAGGATGCGATTGGTCTACTGTTCGACCAACGAAATGGCTGCCGATTTTCTCACGAAGAAGCTGACACGACAGAAGTTTCAGTACTGTAACAAGCTCTGCGGAATCTTCAAGAAGTGACACTATCGACGTTCCAGAAATGAAGGGGAGTGTTGTGATATAATTGATACTTAGCATTTCTGTAAGTCGATTAAGTGTAGTTAGTGTCGAATCCTACTGTAGAAGATAAGTCCGTAGGATGACGTCAGCAAACAGCGCTCGTCATAGGACAGTCATTTCAGTCACGCGAACAGTCGCACCCCTTCATTATCATATAGGGCGCATAGCGCGATAGTGACGAACAGGTACATTAGCGAATAGGTACTTTTCGTAGAACTATAAATACTTGTTTGGACTTTTTCATTATTAACTTTGATCACCCACAAGTTCACATACTCAGGTTATTCAACCTTGACTATTACATTTTACAAGACTTCCGCTGTCTTACTAGTCTACCATTCCAGCAAAGATCCTGGACCAACACTTGAGGATTTGCCAAGTGTTCGTGTTTATAGTTTTATACTTAGTCTACTACAACACCTGTCGATTTATTTCAGTCACAACTCAATGACCCATCAAGGTCGACTGTTGGGTTTCGGGAGCCCTACTTGGAATGAACAAGCAGAGTAGTGCGGAAATGAATAACGAAATGTTCACTCAATGAATGACGATACAAGGAATGGCAAGCCAAGATATAGGAACACCAGAGCTAGTCTAGCCATGCGATGGTAAGGTTCGGGAAGGAGATCGAAGGGTCTCGAAGTGACGAACCGAGGCCCGGAGAACTCCCGAAGGTCGAACTGGAAGGTCTGGAGAAGCCGAGGTGGTTCTGTCAGGAGGTCTGGAACAGTCCCGAGGCTTCAGGTGTGTTCGAGCGTACGCGGTAGCAGGACCGCTCGGTAAGGAATGGAAAATTCCTTACACCACCCCCCCCCTTAGCGAAGGTGATCTACACTGAGAGAAAAAACCGTCCGGATGTTTGGCACGAAGTTGGGTTTTTAGGCTTTAAGACTACTGTATGGTAAACCTGCAAGATGCATGGTGGTACACGTTGGGAGAGGCACAAAGTGGATGCGTTCACAGCACTAAGAACTAGAATAGTACATTGGATCCAACTCATATTCCAAAAGATATACAACGAGTACATTCGGACAGTTTTTTCCCAGGACAAAGAGCAAACTTCCGAACAACGTTTCTAGTACCTAGTCCACCTACTCTTGGCGTTGATCACCATCCGCACCCTCCTAGGCATGTTATCTATGGGGTTAGTGCAGACCTTTGCATGAAGCTTCTCGCACTCTTCCTGGACCCACCATTTTGCATAAGGGGGTGAGCACAAGGAAAATTGCAAAGTATTTGAGCGTATGCATAAGTATTGTACACAAATTCTGAATGAATGTTATCTCTGAGACTAGCCAAGCCGAGGGGTGGCCAAAGATGCCATTAGTTAAATGGTCCCGGCTTATCATGGGTCGTCTTCGTCGTATCGTTCTAAGGTAAAATCACGAATAGAGTGGCAAAATCTAGCATTCCCGCCACGAATCTTAGGGTAACAGAGCACGGTCGACTGAACATCCTTTCACTGTGTGAACCATGTTAAAATCCGCGGGTCTAGTGACGGGGCAGCAGTCGAAGAAACCTCGACTGTTTGGGAAGAATATCTGGATTGAGGTCTGGTGAGAAAAAGGGTCACTCCAGCGCAACATACTTATGCTCTCCAAGGCATTCCATGTCATTTTCCCTGCCTAGGCTTGGAATGGCTCGGAGAGCATGGATATGTAGCTCTGGAGTGCCCCTCTTCCTCACCAGACCTCAACCCTGATATTCTTCCCAAACAGTCGAGACTTTTTCAACTGATGCACTGTCACTAGACTCGCGGATTGTAACATGATTCTAACAATGAAAGGATGCTCAATCGACCGTGCTCTGTTACCCTAAGTTTCGTGGCGGGTATGCTAGATTTTGCCACTCTATACGTGATTTCACCCTACTCTGATTCGACGAAAACAACCCATGATAAGCCAAGACCATTCAAGTAATGGCATCTTTGGACACCCCTCGGCTTGGCTAGTCTCAGAGATTACATTCAATCTGAATTCGTGCACAATACTTATGCATACGCTCAAATACTTCGCAATTTTCCTTGTGCTCACCCCCTTATGCAAAATGGTGGGTCAAGGAAGAGTGCGAGAAGCTTCATGCAAAGGTCTGCACTAACCACATAGATAACATGCCTAGGAGGGTGTGGATGGTGATCAACGCCAAGACTAGGTGGACTAGGTACTAGAAACGTTGTTCGGAAGTTTGCTCTTTGTCCTGGGAAAAAACTGTCCGGATGTACTCGTTGTATATCTTTTGGAGTATGAGTTAGATCCAATGTACTATTCTAGTTCTTAGTGCAGTGAACGCATCCACTTTGTGCCTCTCCCAATATGTACCACCGTGCATCTTGCAGGTTTACCATGCAGTAGTCTCAAAGCCTAAAAACCCAGCTTAGTGCCAAACATCCGGACGGTTTTTTCTCTTAGTGTATATCAGCCACATGCTTGCGGGCCAAGTAATTCGCAAGTATAGAAGGTGACTGTATTTGGTCCGAGGGCACCCACGTGTCGTCCTCACTAGTACGATTGGTCCATCGTATCAGAAAGTCAACGTGTCGTCCTTGGCCGTCGATAGGAATCCGATGGCTCAAGATCTTCGAAGGCTCGATGGTCGTCTCAGCTGGTGGCCGTACATCTGGGACTAATCGCTGTCGGGCGATGCCCGATGTGTCAGGAACGAAGGGTCGCAACAGGCTCACGTGGAACTTGTTGTGAATACGCCATTCATCACGTAGGCGCAACTCGGCGGTCACCGGCGTCACCATCTTCATGATCTTAAATGGGCCACAGAAACGTGGTCGTAATTTCGTCGGTAGTGGCAGTATAAATTCTTGGTGTCCAAAAGGACTAGTTGCCCTGCTGTCATCGTACTATCCCGGCGATGTAAATCCGTATACCGTCGGGCAGTTGCGTTCGCCTTGCGAATAAGTTCGACGGCTTTGTCTCGGGCAGTCTGTAATTCCTCAACGAACTGCTGCGATCGTGGTACTTGACTCTCAACGTTGGTGGAGACTGGTACTGTAGGATCCATCCCATAATTGAGATAAAACGGGGAGTGATTAGTCGTAGCCGAGGGCGCGTTGTTGTAGGAAAATTCCAACATGGGTAGCACGTCCTCCCATTTTTTTCGGTCGGGGTAGTTTGTCCGAATCAGCTGCTCCATCGTTTGATTTGTCCTTTCCGTCTGGCCGTCCGTTTGGGGATGATACGCGGATGAGAACTGTAGACGCGTGCCGTACCGAGCCCACGTGTCCTGCCAGAATTTTGACGTGAACTTTGGATCTCGATCGCTAATGATTGCTGCTGGTATCCCGTGTAGGCAAACGACGGTCGAGATGAACAGGCGCGCTGTTTCTTCGGCTGTGATGGTTGTACGACATGGTGGGAAATGCGCCATTTTCGTCAATCGGTCGACGACAACCAAAACCGCGTCGTTTCCCCTGGGTCCGGCCGGTAGTCCCGTAACGAAATCCATCGTTACGTGTTGCCATGGGCATTGAGGTGGCTCGAGGGGCTGCAACCGTCCTGTAGGTCGCTGGTGTGATGACTTCATTCGTTGGCAGATCGGACACGCGGCCACGTAACGCTGCACGTCCGTCACCATATTTGGCCAGTAATAAAACCGCTGCAACGCCTTCAGAGTTTGTCAACCCCGAAATTATTGCAGCTGCTGCAGATTCGTTGGTGGTTTCCTTTCCTGAATAGCCCTGAGTTTTTTCGGGTCTATCCGGATCCCCTCCGTGGAGATCACATGCCCCAGGAACTCCAGTTCTTGTTTTAAAAACTCGCACTTGGAGCCCTTGGTGATGAGACGATGCTGCTACAACCGCTGAAAAACCGCGTCCAAATCTTTTAAATGCTGCTCCCGGGTCTTGCTGTAGATTAGGATATCGTCCAGGTAAATTATTACACGATTAGCGAGCTCCGCGAAGGTTGTCGATCAGTTCGTCCATTCGTGGGATTGGGTAGCGCGATTTTATCGTTACCCGATTAAGGGCACGATAATCCGTACACATGCGAAGTCCGCCGTCCTTTTTTGGCGTGAACAGGATCGGTGCTGCAAACGGTGACGTGCTCGGCCGAATGAACCCTTTTGCCAGCAGGTAGTCCAGCTGGTTTCGTAACTCCTGTAGCTCCGGCTGAGTCAGGTGCCATTGCGTGCATACAGTAGGCTGCGCGCCGGGCTCCAGCTCGATTTTGTGGTCCTGGGGTTATTCGGGTGGTAGTCCACTTGGCAAGTCGTCCGGGAAAATCTCAGGATATTCCCGAATGATTTTCGCCAAGTCATCTGGGACCGAAGCGCAGAGTTTGTTGATGTCGGTCGCCTCGTTCTGCTCCGTCGATTCGGTTAGATGGACGGCGTATAAATCCGCTCCATTCTTGACCGCTCGGTTGAGGCACACTGCGTTGACGCGTGTCGATGTTGTCTCTGCTTCCGGCCACGAGGGTAATTTTTGCCGGCCTTTGTCGCACTTTACTGTGCACTCGCTTGTTGTCCAATCGATCTGCAGGTTGAATCGTCGCAGCCAATCGCGTCCCAATAGCACGTCGTAGCCGTCGAGCGTTGTCGCCAGCATCGGCGCGCTGAACCCAAAATCTTCGCCACACTTCATTCGAACGACAGGTACTTTGTCGCGTATCGCCAGCGGGGTGTTGTCCACCAATCGCGCGTCGATTTCGGACAGACACCTCTCCAGCGTCAGGTGTAGTCGTCGTGCTGTCTCTTGATTTATCAGGCTATGACTCGCACCTCCGTCGATGAATATTTTTATTTTTCTTCCGTTGAGTCGTCCTTCCGCCAGTACAGGGTGGTCCACTGGGTCATCCCCCTTATTCAGCCGGGAGCGGTTGATAGCATGTATCGGAACCACTACTCGGTGGGGATGGTGTTTTTCGGGTGATGAGGCAGGGTCAGTAGGGGGCCCGACCGCTACTGACGCTTGGTGTTGTTCTTCTTTATCTGCTTCTTTCGGGGGCAATCGTGAGATTGGTGACCTGGCAGGTGGCAGTTGAAATATTGTCCCTTGCGAAAGTCTTCCATGTGCTCCTTCGCCACTACGCCTTGAATCGTGGGCCGTGGATTCTGGCCACGAAAACGATTTCCCTCCCGGGGACCCGTTCTCGCATACGTCCGATGTGCGTCGAAATTGTCTGCGATCTGAACGGCTTCGTGAAACGTCGTCGGTAGTCGCAGTCGGACCTCGCATTTAATGTCCTGCTTCAAACCCAAAATGAGTCGAGCTTTCTTCTCGGAGTCATGCATGTCGGTGATTTGATCGCATAACGCCATGAAGACCGACGCGTAATCCTGGACAGAACTCCACTGGCGCCAGTTGTCCAGCTTCGTGCGTGCGTTGTCCAAGGCGGATATTGGCTCGAATCGTTCACGCAGAGCTGTACCCCACGCCTTCCACGTGCGAATCTTGGTCGATCCAAAAATCGCGGTTGACCCTTGGGCAGCAGACCCAAAGTTTCCGAAAAACCCCTGTGTGTCGCCTGCCGAAAACTCCCCCTCCTGTAGAGTATATCGCCACCAATCTAGTGCAGGTCCCCGTAGTAGTGATACAGCCAGCCGATTTTTTTAATCGTCAGCCGTGATCCCAGCGGCATTAAAATAAAGTTCCGCCGAAAATATCCAGCCCGTAATAGTAGTATTCTTATCTGTGGGGTCGAACGGGGGCGGCATTGTCGGTTTGATCGTCGCTGTCGTCACGATCGGCATAAACGCCAGTGCGGCTACAGTGGCGGCTGCTTTTGACCGAGCGGCTGCTGCTGTCGCTGCTGCTGCTGCTACTGCTGCTTCGGCTGCTGCTCGTGCTGCCACGTCAGCTGCTGCGGCGGCTTTACTGTCCTTGCGCTTCTGTGACACCTCACGTGCGGTTTCGTCCAAGACGGTTTCGACACGTCCGGTGCTGGCGACCTCCTCTTGGGCGGTAATTTTCTGACGCGAATCCTCTCGCGCCTGGCGTAACTCAGCAACTTCTGCACGAAGTTGCTCGTTGTCCTCCAGCACTGTAGCCATGCGTATGTTCATGGCATTGAACTGCTCCCGAAGCTCGTTGAACTGAGCTTGGTCCATTTGGCGAATGCTCCACCGGGGCAGGGGGAAATCCGTAATGTGCCTGTACTCAGGTAAGCGCAAACGCTATCGTAGTTGGGCGAATTAATCAGTCGAATTCGCAGGCAACCGCTTTGCAGCTTACGTGAGGGACCTACCCCCCCCCAAAAAAATCAACTCACGAAAAACGGGTGAGCGAGGAAAGTGGCTCTGATTACCAGGTGTTATGAATGAACAAGCAGAGTAGCGCGGAAATGAATAACGAAATGTTCACTCAATGAATGACGATACACGGAATGGCAAGCCAAGATATAGGAACACCAGAGCTAGTCTAGCCATGCGATGGTAAGGTTCGGGAAGGAGATCGAAGGGTCTCGAAGTGACAAACCGAGGCCCGGAGAACTCCCGAAGGTCGAACTGGAAGGTCTGGAGAAGCCGAGGCTGTTCTGTCAGGAGGTCTGGAACAGTCCCGAGGCTTCGGGTGTGTTTGAGCGTACGCGATAGCAGGACCGCTCGGTAAGGAATGGAACATTCCTTACACTACTTCGGCCATCCTGGAAACCGGAACTAGCGGGTACAGTGGTGGTAACCCTTATTCAACAATTGTGACGTCCCATCTGTGCTTTTATGAATTAATCAGAGTAATAGCAGGTAGTGTAATAAAGGAGTCGTGATTCAGGAGTGTCAATACAAGGGCCTAGGCATTTATAGGCATGAACAGAGCTAGCCGAGAACCACGCGAACAGGTTGGGGCGGTCCAGTTGGCGAAAGCGACGGAAGCTCCGCACGTCTAGGTTTGGGTTCGCAAAGTGGTTCGGGACCGAAGAAGTTGGCTGGGCTGGGACTTCTGAGAGTCGAGGGCGTATGCACTGTAGTCGAGCCCAATAAGGAAAAGGGAATTTCCTTACACCACCCCCCGTTCCGGGATGAGACTACCCACATCCGGTACACGTCGTCGGTGTAAATAGTCCCGGACAAATCTGTTTTCACCGAGTGTAGCTGCGAGAACCCATAGGTCGTCGTCACTTGTGCGATCGACCCACCGTACAAGGAAATTGGAGGCTGCTGTATCTCGATATCCTTGTACGCGATGAGCGAGAATCTTGGACAGCTCGATCGTTGGCTCGGGTACTGGGTTGACCGTAGGATTAATGTATTGACGGTCGAGATTGGTCGCACTCGGGATGACGGTCGAGACTGACGTGGAACGCATCATGAATTCGCCAGTCGGTCGGCAGTTGCAGCTAGGCGGTGACTGGTGTCACCATGCAAATGATGCGGAAGGGGCCGCAAAATATTGGTCGTAATTTAGTTAGGAGGGGGATTCCCAAATTCCTAGTGTCGAGCATGACCAATTTCCTAGGGACAAGTGTTAAGTCTCGGCGTCGTCGGTCAGCTTGCTGCTTAGCCCTTTGGTTTGCTTTTAGGCTGACAACGGCAGCTTTCTGCTGAGACTGTCGGAGATTTTCGACGAACTGCTGAGACCTTGGTGCCGGATTTTCTATCGGTGATGATAGAGGGGTTGTCGGATCTATCCCGTAATTAAGGAAGAACGGGGACTGAGTAGTCGTGGCCAATGGGGCATTATTGTACGCAAACTTGATCAAGGGAAGGGGTCTTCCCATTGGGCCAGGTCTGTGCATGTCGTGCAAATGAGCTGCTCCATCGTCTCATTGGTGCGCTCAGTCTGACTGTCTGATTGCAGGTGGTACGCCGTGGATAGATGCAGGCGTGCGCCGTATTGCTACCAGGTTGTTGTCTAGAAGTTGGACGTGAACCGTAGGTCCCGATCGCTGATGTTTGCTGATGGGATGCCGTGTAACCGCACGATGTTCGTGAGGAACAGTTTCGCTGTCTGCTCGGCAGTGTTTGCCATCTTGCAGGCGGTGAAATGGGGTCATTTTGGTCAACCGGTCAACGATGACGAGGATCGCATCGTTACCGCTTGAACCAGCAGGCAGGCCAGTGACGAAGTCCATCGTCACTTGTTGCCAGGGTCGGCTGGGTGGCTCGAGCGGCTGCAGCAATCCAGCAGGTCGAAGTCGTGAGGACTTCATGCATTGACACGTGGCGAAGGAGGTGACGTACAACTGCACGTATGTCGGTAGGTCGGGCCAATAATAATTACAGCTCAGTAATTTTGCGGTTTTATCGATGCCGTGGTGACCCGATAAATTCGAGTCATGTGCTTCCTGGATCAGTACTTCTGGTAGGGTGCGGTAGGCGGGAACCCAAATCCGATTGGTACCGGATATTAGATAATAGGCCCCTTGCTTGACCGTTAGTTGGGGATGACTGTTAGTGGTGAAGAATGGGTCAGTACTATATCCGTGGGTGAATAGGCCAGTTAGTAGCGGATTAGTTTGGGTAATTAGGATTGCGGCGGTGTGGACTGAAGGGGCGGGTCAGTGCGTCGGCGATGTTGCTGACCCCTCGTTTGTAGGTGACTCTGAAGTGGAAATTGGACTTGAGGTAGCCGAGCCAGCGAATCTGTCGTGGGTTCAGTGTCGGTTGGGCGTGGATGAACTGTAGCGACTTGAGGTCTATTCGGACTGTTACGTCAGCGCCCGTCAGGTAGCAGTGCCAGACTTTGAAAGCATGAACGATGGCGAGTAACCCCTTGTCGTTGACAGGATAGTTTCGCTCGGCCAGGTTCAGCTTTTGTGACTCGTAGGCTATCGGTTGTAGGCCAGATCGCTAGCGTCGGTAATGAGCTCGAATGGATAGTGAGGATCTGCAATCCGAAGAACCGGCGGTGTAGTCAGGAAACGTTTGAGCTTTTCGAACGCAGCCTGCTGCTCTCCCCCCCACTCATAAAATGTGCCCTTCTTCAAGAGATCCGTGAGAGGGGAAGTTACCCCCGCCATGTTCGGAATGAAACGGCGGACGTAATTAATAAACCCTAGGAAACTCTGAAGTTCCCGGAGATTAGTTGGCGGCTTCCAGTCTTGGAATGTCGCGATTTTCTTCGGGTCGATTTTAAGACCGTCGATGGAAATCACGTGACCCAAAAAATCCAATTCGTGTTTTAGAAACTTGCTTTTAGAGCCTTTGGTGATGAGTCGGTTCTCCTGCAAGAGAGAGAAAACTGCTTCCAAATCATTTAAATGCTGCTCCCGGTGTGAGAGTACGACCCTGTTACACTTCTTTCTCATTTCCATCTTTTCCCTCTGTCTCATTCTTCTTTTTATCTAGATTCCTTTGCTCTTTATCTCATCCCATTTGGTTTCCTATTCCTCTTTTCTCATTATCATTTGCATTATCCTATTATTATAATTATATCACCGACCAAGCTCGGGATGTACTGGCGCGCTATATCTAGCGTAATCTTGCCGTAATCCCTTAAATCCAATAGCCTCGCGTGGATATTCGCAGGGTGATTCTATTTCTAGAAGGGTCTATTCCCTTTGGATAGGATAAACCTGGTTACCTGATGTACCTTGGAAGTATAAAAGCGCATTGTATCAATCGATGGTGCAACTTTTCCTCCACACATTCGATCCTCTGACACTTGGTAATCAGAGTTTTTCTCACTCAGCCGCGCTCAACTAAGTAGAAGCAGTGGGAAAACCTGCCTTGCAGGGGTTTTATTTTTTCGTTAAAGCGAGAGGTCAAAATAGTGAAGGCGAGTCCAACTTGAAAAGGCCCCAACATCCGTTTTTGCGACTAAGGGACAAAACTGCGACGGGGCAGAGGGTACACTGTCGAGAAATGCAAGCAGGGGAAACTGTGCGAGAAGATGCAGTCACCTGATTGGTTGGCGCGGAAAACATGACGTACGGTGGGGAAAATGGCTCGGGCAAAATTGCAAGCAGCGCGCCACCTGTCGCCTAGCCCCCACTGCTTGTAGGCTGCACCAAGTGGGCCCAACTTGAATTTCAAGTTGGACCCGGGTTCACTACTCTAGCAAAACTGAGGCTGGGCCCCGATTGGTCGAAATGCTAACCACGCAAATCTATGGTCGTAAATTTTGTCGCCAGTGCGAAATGTCGCAAGCATAATTCGATTTTGTGGCCTACGGCTTGGTAAAAAACGGGGGCTGCTGCCCGCACCTCCAAAAAGATATTCAGTGTTGGGTCGTTTCTAGTTGGGCCCAACTAGAAAGGGGGGTCACTATTATAGTCTCTCGCTTTAAGACGCAGTCCCGATTTTTCGTCAACGACCAACAATCCTTATGGGTCGTTTGCAGCGATTTTCCATTTTTGTCCAAAAGTCAAACAATTGTGTGGGTAAATTGAGTGGCTTCGTCAAATGTGTGTCGTCGTATGACAACTCTTCAGAAAACGACATGATGTAGAGGCAGAGTCGGTCACTGTTCTAGATTAGGGTAATTTTTTGTCTAGTGAATTTAGATTTGGGTATATCTTAGTTGCTACCTCGCTGTGAAGTCCAATTTCAGGGCAGTCCCAGCTCATTGATCCCTATTTTCCATTTTACGCACAAGTTGGTTCAAGGCAAGCGTACGGCTAAACGCATTTGGGTAAGGAGCTTACTGACTCAGAAGGATCAAATATCAACCTGATATGGTTGGCAAGGGTATTGAGCGAAAGGTGCACTTGGTGCCTGTCCTCAGTCTCAACGCGTGCATTCTTTGTGGAAGAATAGTGGCTTGTCTAGAGCGTATGTGGGTACAGTTCACTCGAAACACCGTCAACGTGTTTTTTTTCCCTGATGCGGACATGCACAGCTCGTGATAGATAACGCGCGGTGTACTCTTGCACGAACATGAAAAAAGTATGAAATACGGCTGCGACCAGCCACCCATTCCAATGGGCTTTTCGAAAAGCCTGAACAATGTACTGCTTGTTTCAGTAAGTGTTGTTATGAATGGAACTGTCGAGTAGCACGGAGGGCAATTGTGAACGAGTGAATATGTAACGAAGCGCAAAGAGCGTGTGTCGAATAGTTGAGTAATGAGGAAACAATACAATGAGGCAACATCAAAACAATATGAAGTATGGATCTAGGCCTAGAGCACACGGTCGAGCCTCGGCAGAGCTAAGACGTGTGGTTTGTAATTTGGCGTAAAGCGCCCAGATCTAGGAATGAAACAGCGAGGCGAGCAAACTGCCCAGATCTAGGCATGCGGCTCGTCAAGAGACCACACTTGGGTACCGCGATTCAAATTTCATGGCAGAGCTGCACGGCAACCACGCTATAGCAGTGTACGCCTTATTGACTAAGACACGTGATAAGGATATTCCATTTCTTATACCCTCCCCCCTCCAAGGAATGGTGTTAGCTAAGACCGCCGACATCGCGCACCTTGCGTGACTGGAGGTAGACTCGTAATACACGGTATTTCTCGATCTGCGTTAGGGGCACCCCATTGTTCTAGAGGGGTGTCCGGTCCTTCTGGGATATTAGAAACTCGATCAGGCAGGCCCCTCGAGGGTCCTTGATCCGTTTGCTGAGAATCTTTACGGGTTCGACAGTAGGTTCGGCGAGTGGTCGGATGTTTAGGTTGGCCCGATGACGTGGTAATTTACTGGTACGGGCGATGTATGGTCATAACAGTCGCATGCGAAATGATGGGCTGACATTCCAGGTGGCCGGTAACAGTAGATGAACTATAACGAAAGATATCATGTGGCTGATTGTAAATGATCCGCAGTAGCGAGGGCAAACTTTTGGGACTATGGACAGTCGGTTCTGAGTGTCGATTAGTACTAAGTCTTGAGCATGGTAAGTTACTGCTCGTTGGTGTAGATCGGCGTTGTGCATAGAAATAGCATTTGCACGCTTAATGGCTTCGGCTGCTCGCTCCTAGGCATTCTGTAATATTCTGGCAAGCTGTTGGGCTCGGAGTACTGGATTCTCGATGTTGGGCGGGATAAGTAATGTAGGTTTTTGTCTGTATTCCAAGCATAATGGTGACTGTCGGGTACTGACTGACGGGGCGTTATTATACGCGAACTCAAACAGTGGAAATTGCTGCTCCCTGTCGGTCAAGTCATCGCAGGTGGCGTGAATCAGCTGCTCCATTTTCTGATTGGCTTGTTCGGTCTCTCCGTTAGGTCCTGGGATGAAAAGCTGGTGAGAACTGTAGGCGCGTGCCAAATTGGTCCCAAAGGTTGCGCCAGAATTTGTTGGTGAATTTCATATCACGATCCGAAATGATGTCGGATGGAATTCCGTGGAGGCGAACGACAGTCGAGATGAAAAGGCGGGTTGTTCCTTAGGCTGAGATGCTTTTCTTGCAGGCGGCAAAATGAGTCATCTTCGTCAGCTTATCGACGACGACAAATATCGCGTCATTGCAGCCGCCCTTGGCAGGCTATCCCATGACAAAATCCATCGTCACTTACTGCCATGCACGCTCAGGCGGTGGAATCGGCTGCAACTGTCCAATTGGATTCTGCTTTGATCACTTCATGGTTTGGCAGGTTCTACACGAAACCACATGCCATTGCACATCCCCCTGCATGTCAATCCAAAAATAGAATTTGGTAAACTGTTGCCGTGTTTTTCCACTCCAAAATGCCATGAAACTGTACTGTCGTGGGCTTCCTACAGTAATAACTCTCGTAACAGGCTGTACTCTGGTACCCAGATACGGACAGTCCCTGTCTTTACATAATAGATTCCGTTTGTCGTTGTAAGCTGTTTGTACGCACCCGATATAAAGAATCTTTCCGTCCGGTACCCGTGGGTAAATAGGCCTGTAAGTAATTGTGAAGTTTGGGCGAGGATGATTGAGTTGAGATGGGCGAATGGGCGAGAAAGGGGGTCTGCAATGTTCGATGCCCATTTTTAGTAGGTGTCGGTGTAGTGGAAGTTGGATTCCATAAAGTCCAGCCACCTAATCTATCGCGAGTTGAGCAGTGGATGTGCACGAATGTACTGTAGGCTGCGATTGTCTGTCCGCATTGTTACATCCGCGCTTATCAGGTAGCACCGGCGTGCACGATCGCGAACATCTCTCTGTCATATATCGGATAATTTTGCTCGGGCGGGTGTAACTTTTGTGACTTGTACGCGATTGGTTGTAGACCTTCGCCGAAGATTTGTAACAGTACTGCTTTGATGAAGATGTCGCGGCGAGCGCGGAGAAAACAGCTCGCTCTTTCTCCTCCCACTTTTACTTAGTCCCTTTCCGCAGCAGGTTGGTTAACGGTGCAGTTACCCTCGCCATATGTGGGATAAGTCTTCGAACATAATTTACAAACCCCAAAAAACTTTGCAGCTCCTGCAGATTCGTAGGCGGTAGCTAGGCTTGCATTGTCTCGATCTTACGCAGGTCCACTTCGACGCCCTTAGTGGAGATGACCTGGGCTAATAATTCTAACGTATCTTTTAATAACCTGCACTTAGACCCTTTTGTGAGCAGCGAATGATCCTGTAGTAGCGAGAAAACTGCTTCGAGGTCCTTTAAATGTTGCTCCCGAGCCTGCTGTAAATCAGGATGTCATCTAGATAAATTATAACACACTAATCTACGAGCGAACTGGAAATCTGGTTCATTGTCATTTGGACAGTCGCCAGGGCGTTTGTGAGTTCGGAAGGGCATAATGACATACTCAAAACTCCCTTTCCTAGTATGAAATGCGATCTTGTGACTGTCAGCTGCGACTACGCAAATCTGGTGGTAACCCTCTCATAAATCTATTTTCGAGATGAAGCGAGCTTTGCGAAGTTGGTCGATCAGTTCGTTGCCGCGAGGGATAGGGTAACGTGACTTGATAGTCACCCTGTTCAGTGCTCTGTAGTAAATGCACATTTGGTACCCGCTGTCTTTCTTGGGGGTGAACAGTATGGGGGCGGCGAAGGAAGATGAACTCGGGCGGAAGATATTTTTCTTGAGTAAGTAATCTAACTGCTTTTGTAATTCCTCTAACTCCGGATGTGTTAGTCAAAATTGCCGCTGAAATGTGAGCTATGTCCCCCATTTTAATTCTACCATTCCGGTGGTAATCCCTCAGGCAGGTCGTCAGGCAAGATCTGCATAAATCTGCAAATTAGCTGCGCGAGATCGGCTGGCACTGCTGCTGTCAGCTTCTCTAAATCGGACGGCTGCGATGCCACGTCGATGGCGCAAATGACTACATCGAAGACATCTTCTCCCCATGTGACTGTTCGTTTGATCGCTACGGAGTTCACTTGCATCACTCCTCTTGTGATCCCCTTTGTCAATTCTAGTAAGACTACACTACGGCCGTTGATTTTCACTGAATAGCTGCCAGTCGTCCGGTCGACTTTCGGATTGAAGCATCGCAGCCAGTCTCATCCCAGTAGCATATCGAAGCCATCAATTATAGCTGCCAGCATCCCCATTTTAAAATTGAAGTCAGCTCCGCATCGTACCCTAATTTTTTCTACTCGGTATTCTATTGCCAACGGGGTCCCGTCGACTAGTCGGGCGTCGATCTGCGGCAGACACCTATCTAAGGGTAACTTTTTTTGCTGTGGTGAGATTGTTGAGGTTGTGACTAGCACCTCCGTCCATGAAGATTTTTATTCCCCTGAATCCTACCCTCTAAATAAATGGATAAATCCGCCGCTGCACCCTCCTTATTCAACCGGGTTTGGTCGATTGCATGGATTGGTACCAGAACTCGACGAGGGTCATCGGTCACCGGCAAGCAGGTTCCATAAGTAGTAGCGCTCGTTAAGTACTGACACTAGGCATTTTCCTGATCATTGGAACTCCCCTGCCCCTGATTCCGCTTCTTCTGCACCTCTGGGCACTACGACTTGCAGTGACCCGGCCTGTTACACCCGAAACAACGACCTTTGAAGGCTGTAACTGCTGAGTTTGAGGTTGTAACAGCGTGTACAGTGGCACGCTCGATTGGCCCGGAGTGCGACTTTCGTCGTAGGAACCCGTGTTTGTAAGGCGAATTGAGCTTCTCTGCAGCCCTCTGCATCTCCATTGAATCTGTTATTTCTGACACTTGTATTTCTCGGCACAGATCCGGTCAAAGTCCCCCGATGTATATGTCGAATTTTTCTTCAGGGTCAATATAGCCGACCTGGTCACATAGATTCTTGAAGAAGCTGGTGTAGTCCTGGACCGATCCGAGTAGGTGCCACATGCAAAGGCGGCCGCACGCTTGAATGCTTGCACTGACATATTCGAAGCGGCGACGACTTCCTGCACACCACGATTGCCCCTTGACGAACTCGTCCACCTCGCAAAAGCTTTATGCCCAGTGACTGGTTGTGCGAAAATGCCTGATTACGTGCGGTGTCATATCAGGCCCCTACGACTGAATTATCTGCTGCCACCAATCCACTGCCGATCCACCTAGGAGTGAAACGGCGTATCGGATTTTTTTGTGCATTATCGACGACGTGGTTGTAGTCGTAAAAACGTTCATATGGAAAATCCATCCGCTGACAGACAAACTTTCACGTTGGCTTGGGTCGAATGTGGGCGGCCTCTACGTCTTGAGAATTCCCGATGCAATATTGATACTTGCTGTTTACAGGCCTGTCACATGATCGAATGTGTCGAGGAAAAAATGCACTATTAATTGATACAAGGCGTTCTTATTCTTCCAAGGTACATCAGGTAACCAGGTTAATCCTATCCAGAGGGAATAGACCCTTCTAGAAATAGAATCACCCTGCGTATAGCCACGCAAGGCTATTGGCTTTAAGGGATTACGACAGGATTATGCTAGATATAGCGCGCCAGTACATCTCGAGCCTGGTCGGTGATATAATTATAATAACAGGATAAACTAAAGGAGGAAACCAAATGAGATGAGATAAAAAGAGAAGTGAAATGGAAAGGAGAGATGGAAAGGGAAATGGTGTAACAGTAGGATACTCTCACACTTCCCCTCCTCAAAGCTGGGTGGTAGAAGTAACACCCTACTTGACAAGGTAGTCGTGAAGAGGACGACGGGCGTTACCCATGTTGGTTTCAGGAACCCAGCTACAGTATCCTCAGAAGGATCATAACCCTTCCAACAAATGAGAAGCTCCACGGTGCCATTCCGACGACGGCGGTGTGCAAGCACGGACTCGACCTCGTACTCGGGTTTATTCTAGACGAGGACGGGTGGTGGCGGCGGCGGTTGGCGTCCGACGAAGACCGTGTTAGGATCGCGATAGGGCTTCAGAAGTTAGACATGGAAGGCGTTGTGAATCTTCCAAGTAGCTGGCAAGCGTAAGTGGAAGGTAACAGGAGTGACATGTGCTACAACGAGGAAAGGCCCGCAGAAGCGAGGTCGTAGTTTGGATGGGAGATGGCGAATGTCAAGGTTGCGGGTGTCGAGAAGCACCTGGTCTCCCACGGTGATGGTGTGGTTATTGCGATGGCAATCGGCCTGGCGCTTCTGTTGTTGCTGAATGTCGAGGAGGCGCTTGTGGGTCCGATCCCAAAGCTGATGCATGGTTGTGATGAAGTCGTGTGTAGGTTGGACTGTAGGTGATGCTGTCGGTTTTTGCGGCGTGAGTGGGTGGCGTCCGTAGCAGAGGAAGAACGGCGTCTGTCGAGTAGCGGCATGTGTAGCGTTGTTGTAAGCAAACTCTAGAATGGGCAGGTGCAAGTCCCATTTAGAGATCTCGTCCTTGCAGGCTACACGGAGGAGTTGCTCGACAATTTGGTTGAGGCGCTCGGTCTGTCCGTTTGTCAGCGGATGGTAGGCGGATGACATGGCGAATTTGGTCCCGAGCAAAGACATTAGTTCCTTCTAGAAGTTGCTGGTGAACTTGGGGTCTTGGTCGGAGATGAGTGTGGTTGGAATGCCATGTTGTGAGATGATGTAGCGAATTAAAAGTTGTGCTGTCTCCTCGGTGCGTGCTGTCGTGTGTGTCGGAATGAAGTGTCCCATCTTAGAGAATTTGTCGATGACGACGAGGATTGCGTCATGATCGCTTGTGGTAGGTGGTAACCCGGTGATGAAATCGAGGCTAACCAGTTGCCATGGTTGTTCTGGGACAGGAAGAGGCTGTAGTAGTCCCGCCTTCTTTTGCTTGCTGCTCTTCATCCGCTGACATGCATCACACGACGTGACGAATTTCTGGACATCGTCTGCCAAATGGGGCCAGTAGTAGTGCTTTGCGATACCGGTGAGCGGCTTGTTCCTACCGAAGTGTCCTGCGTATAGGACATCGTGGTATTCTTAGAGGTGTAGCTGGCGCAAAGGAGGGTAATTGGGTACCCAGATTTTCGTTGATCATTTCCGGTACGCGATGTCACTGTCCCACTGTAGCAGATGTCGCTTCTGTGCCAAGGGAATTTTGGAGTCGATGGTGTACCCGTGTGTGAAGAGTCCCTTGAGTAATGGATTCATCCCTTCGATCTGGATGGCGGCGACGTGTGCAGGCCGGCTAAGCGCGTCTGCTTTGCTTTTGTGGTCAGGCTTGTACACGATGTCATAGTGGAAGTGTGTCTCAAGGAAGTCAATCCACTGGACCTGCCGCCTGGATAGGTTTGGTTGTGTCTTCAGATATTTCAGGCTGCAGTGGTCGGTATGGACAGTTGTGTTTCGTCCTTCGAGATAACATCTCCATATTTTGAAGGCGATGATGATGGCAAGGGCCTCTTCGTCATGTATCGGGTAATTTAGTTCAGCCCCGTATAGTTTCTTGCTGAGGTAGGCAATTGGTTGCTGTCCATTCCCATGGTCTTGCATCAAGACTGCTCCCACTGCCTCGTCACTAGCGTCAGCTTCGATGACGTAGTCGCGTTCGGGGTCTGGCAAGATGAGTACGGGCGCGGACGTGAGTGTTTTTTTCAGCTGCTCCATAGCTTCCTGGTGCTTCGGTTCCCAAGTCTATAGCGTGTTATTTTCAGCAGATTCGTGAGTGGTGTTTCAATCTTCGCGTACTGTGGCACGAACCTGTTGTAATAGTTAGCGAAGCCAAGGAACTGCTGCAACTCCTTCACGTTCTCGGGTGTCTTCCACGTGCGTACGGCTTCGATCTTCTTTGGGTCGACGTGAACTCCTTGAGCGCTCACCATGTGTCCTAGGAATTGGACTTTCTCGAGGGCGAATTTGCTCTTGGACAATTTCATGTAGAATCGCTCTCGTCGAAGAATTTCGAAGACGCGTCGCAGGTGTTCGACGTGCTGCTTCATGTCGCGCGAGTAGATGAGGATATCGTCCAAGTACACCACCACACATTCGTCCAAGAGTGGGTGTAGAATGTGGTTCATTACGGCTTGGAACGTTGCAGGTTCGTTGGTGAGTCCGAACGGCATTACCAGATACTCGTACGACCCGTACCGAGTTCACAAGGCAGTTTTGTGGATGGAATTGTCCGCCATTCGTATGTGCCCGTATCTGAATTGCAGATCCAGTTTGGAAAATACCGTGGCTCCCGAAGCTGGTCAAGCAGGTCATCGATTTGTGGAATCGGGTATTTGTTCTTGATGGTCTGCATGTTGAGAGCTCGGTAATCGATGCACATGCGCAGGCTTCCATCCGATTTCGGTGTGAAGAGCAATGGGGCACCGTATGGCGAAGTGGATGGTTGGATGAGTCCTTTGGCGAGGAGATACTCGTTATGTGTTTTCATGTCAGCTAGTTCAGTGGGGCTGAGCCGATATGGTGCTCGGAAGGCCGGCTTCGAACATGGTTCTTCCACGAGTTCGGTATGGCGGTAGCTCGTTCGGAAGGTCGTCAGGAAGAATGTCTTGGAACTCCGATAGTAATTCCTTTATTTTTTGTGGAGGTTCCGAGGTTTTCTCCCCGTCGTTTTCCACCTCTGTTGCTATTGCCAGGAACCCCGTGTCGGTCCGCTTCACGTCCTTCTAGAATCGTGCAAGTGTCTCCACTGGGATATCTCCTGTATCGTCCCAGTAGGGTAGCTGGACTCTCCTTCCATTGTTGTAGATGCTTGCGGTGCGATTAACCCAATTGATCTCGAGATTGAATCTTTTTAGGAAGTCTCGCCCGAAGATCAAGTCAAGCTTTTTTATGTTGGTGATGGGGAGTGCAGGTCTCCAGCGCAGTGGTCCAATTTGTAGGTATAACACTGCTTGGCCGTGTACATGTAACTTGCTGCCGTCCACCATCGTTGCAGAGAATACTGAAGGCTTGTACTCTTCCCGAAGTCGGTCGATTACTGCCTTGTCGCAGACGGTGTATGATGCTCCACTGTCTACGAGTGCTTGGAGTCGTCGTCCTTTGCAGATGACCTCGAGCACGAGGGGCGGGCATTGCTCGGAGTACCCAAAGATAGTTTTATTCATAGGGTCATAGGGTACATCCCAATATTCCGTACACAACTTTTCGTTACTATCTACTCCTGAGCTGGCAGCTGGCCGAGGCTGCTTGGAGAAAGGCTCTTCTCCAAGACCCCGAGTCTCTTTGACGAATGTGCGCGTCGTTGATGCCGAGTTTGCTGAGCTAGATGGATCTGGAGGAGGAGTTCAGGGTTTTTGCAGATTCTTGTAGACCCCCAGCTTCCTCTTGAGCTGCTTCAGCTCCACCGACGTCTTCCCTAGGGAACGGGTAGTCGTTGTGGGCTGGTGTCGGGAGAGGACGTTAACTCCGTGGAAAGGTCGGCTTCTTTCTACACTCCTTAGTTTTGTCCCCAAGTTTTCCGGTACCGGTATGATCTCCACAATTTTCTGCTTCTGCTGGAGTCCCTCGCGAAAATTCTCCAAGGCTCTAGCCCCTCGAGAATCATAAGTTTTCATTAAGGCATCTTTATAAGATAACTTTAACGGATCCTTATAATTTCTCGGGTCTTCTCGGAGTTCCCCCGTCTCGGCAGAGTCCCTTTTCGTGGAGTCGGATTTTTTCTCAGCGATACCGGTACCGGTATGATCTCCACAATTTTCTCTGGCGAAGACTGCCGGGGGTGGAGATTTTCCCGCATTATTTCCTTCTGCTCGCGTCGAATCAGCTTCGTTGAAGTTGATTTTCCCGGAATCCTGCGGCCGCTTTCTGATCTTTTCTTTTTCGCCAGCTAGATCCGCAATCACTGGCGACTCACGTTTTTTTGTCTTCTGATTGGCCGAAGGATTTCCGCCACTATTGCGTGCTCGGGTCGGTGAACGTGGGGTGAGCCGAGCGGTCGCCCTGTCGCGTACTGCCGACGTGCGCCCGCCGTGTCCCGGCGTTGACCATGTTGAATCGCTCCGTTGCCGAAACGACGTCACTGTAGCTCGTATAGTTTGTCGCTGCTACCTGTCGTTTGACTTCGATCTTCAGCCCGGCGAGATATGACAGTACTTTTTCCCCTTCGGTCAGGTCGGGAATACGGTTACAAAATTCCTCCATCTGCTGCGTGTACTGCGCTACACTCCCGAACTGGCGATGGCAATGATTTTTTTCTTGGGCGAGGAAACCCGAATTTATCGGCTCAAAGCGTTTCAGCAGGTCGATGCGGAACTGCTACCATGTGGCTTCGATGTGGATGAAGGTGCTGTTGCCACCGATCCACTCGAGTGCCAGTGTTACTGCGAGTCGTACGCCTTGTCCGTCCCAGACTGGCGAGCTCCATCCGACGGCTGCGAAGTAGATCTCCATGCCTCCGATCCATCTGCGGACGTCGGAATTTTGATCGCTCGGATTGAACTGCTCAGGTGGGCGTGGTTTTGGAGCCTCGAGAAATTGTTGTGACTGTTGCGTCGTCGCTGTTGTCGTATCGGGCTGCACGCCGGCGAGTCGAGTTACTCGCTCGAACTTGTTTCGCCAAGCTTCGCGATCGGCTCGCATCTCCTCCCGAAGGGCGGCGATGCTCGCGAAGAGCTGCTGCGTAACCTCGGCGTTGTCGAAGGTCGCCATCCTGTTCAAAACACGCGCGGAGGGGATAATTCAAAAAACGCGGAGCTGGTGCTTACGAGAAATGGCGCCGAATTAGTCGCCTCTGATGGTTTTGCGAAGCAGGTTTTCCCGCTGCTTCTGCTTAGCTGAGCGCGGCCGAGTGAGAAAAGCTCTGATTACCAAGTGTCACAAGATCGAATGCGTCGAGAAAAAGTTGCACTATCGATTAATACAAGGCGCTTTTATACTTCCAGAGTACATCAGGTAACCAGGTTTATCCTATCCAGAGGGAATAGAACCTTCTAGAAAGAGAATCACCCTGCGAATAGCCATGTGAGGCTATTGGCTTTAAGGGATTACGGCAGGATTACGCTACATATAGCGCGCCAGTACATCTCGAGCCTGGTCGGTGATATAATTATAATAACAGGATAGACCAAATGATAATGGAATATGAGGAATAGGAAACCAAATGAGATGAGATAAAAAGAGAAATGAAATAGAAAGGAGAGATGGAAAGAGAAATGATGTAACAGTGGCGTATTCTCAAAAGGCCGGTGGAAGAGGTCAGCGAGGGTGGCAGGTTGATGTTCGCCCCTTCACCAGCTTCCGTTCGTTTAGTGATCCAAGGCGGATTGTTCGTCGAACCCTCGGGTAAAGCCACATGTGGTCGATGATTGTCGCCATGTATTTCGGAATATTGCTGAGCTACTTGCTCCTGTGTCCTTGGTTTGTCGTTGGAGGGACCGTATCGTGTCGTGTCTGGGGCATACGGCTCCATAGTGCAGAAATCTCAAATTCAGCTCTGGTCGTTTCAGCTCGCAGACGCGCCAATTCCTGTAGATACAACTCGTGGGTGAGACGAACTTCTTCAAGCGCTGCCACCCTTTCTTCATGAGTCATGGCATTAGACAACGAAAGATCCACCATTTGGCGGAAAATTTTGGGTGGATTTCGGCACGCTGGCACTGCGAACACAGTTGTGGCTATAGGTAATCATCGATTAATATTACCAAGACAACGGATATGCAGTAAGCACAGGGCGTCAGCCTCCCTAAGTGTCAGTATTGCAGCGGAATTAGATCGCAGGGCTGAGGATCGTTGGCTCCGATATCAGGTGTAACGAAGCGCAAAGAGCGTGTGTCGAATAGTTGAGTAACGATGAAACAATACAATGAGGCAACATCAAAACAACAAGGAGTATGGATATAGCTAGGCCTAGAGCACACGGTCAAGCCGCGGCAGAGCTGAGACGTGTGGTTTGTAAATTGGTGTGAAGCGCCCAAATCTAGGCATTAAACAGGAAGGCGGGCAAAATGCATGCGGCTCGTCAAGATACCACATTTGGAGCCCCAGTAAAGAATGACTAATTCTTTACAAGTGTGGTGCAGGGTGGTCAGCATTGGAACTGCCAAAACTTTGAACATTGTAGTAGAGCGTTATTGTTTTGGTAAATGTCATAAATCTTTTAGCACACTTCGCCAGCCTCCTTCACCAATGGCATGGAAAGGAGGGGAAAACAGCACAAACATTCGAATGGCCTGACGAAGCCTATTTGAACGGGCCTCCTGCCCTCGAACCTCATCGCTGGCGAAAATTGGGGACAGAATTTCGGCGCCAAATGTCAGCCTGGTTTCCCCGAACCAGAAATCCAGCTACAGAACACCAAGCCTACCTAGCGCACTCAATCACTCTGTCATGCAATGTTCAAAACAATTTCAATTCGCCCAACTAAGAGGTCTAGGCGAGGTGGACTAGGCTCGGGGTGGGTTTGGAGGGTGATCCGCGAAGTGCGCGACGATATGGGATTAGCCTGTTGTCGCACGTGCTCGAACTCGCAAACATCGAAATTGGGGATGAGAAATCCAAGTGTTTTGTATAAGAAGTTGGGATAATTCAAACACTTGTGCAAATGTCAAATTTCACTGTTCTAAAGTTTTCGGCATACGATATTGCTCAAATTTCCACCCCCCTAACCCGAAGACACAGGCACTAGGTATGATTTGTTTTTCAAATTTCCGCCCCCTTAAACCAATGACACATGCCCTATAAATTGTTCAAATTTCCGCCCCCCTAAACTGATGGCACTTGCCCTACTCATTTCAATAAAATACAGTGCTTGTCTACGCCCTATGTATGTTTTGTTCTTTTCGGAAGTTGCAATGTAGGACACGTCAAACGGCACAAATTGCAACTGCGTGACTCGCGTGACATGTTCAGTGAGTGCAGAGAAATCTCGGAGCTGTCGGGGATTGGTTGAATATGTCAGCACCAAGGTCAGCATTTTGCGGAGAAAAACGAAAACATGTGTAACATTTCGAATCTACAATGCGAACCAGCTTCGAGGGGAGCTATCGTGAAGGAATCAATTGATTGGGACAAGGGCAAGGAGAGAGTTCCAATCTAGGTGTTGTACAAGAAACAGCACATAGTTCATCTACACCTAACACACCCCCTAGCCTGGGTAGGGACAGAGTCTAACAATGTACAGCAATCCAGGGCAGCACTACTGGTCTGACCTCTGGAGTATGTAACAAACAGCTCAGGGCAGCACAACTAGTCTAGCTACTAAGACAAGAGCCAAAAGTGTCAACTTATACATATATTGTTATGTAGAAGTTATAGGCTAAATAGGGTATGTTCTTAGTGGGTACAACCCAAACGCTATATCTCCCCTGTTCTCCCTTGTTTCTAATCATTCTTTAGAAAGGAGGTTTCTTCCGCGACCACGCCACTCTCATGCCGCTTGCTGCACCGACCATTGTCGCTCTTGCTAACCCCTCCTCTGGTCCTGTAGTAGCTCGCAGCTACACTACCCTTCCCTGTCCAGCGGCTCCCTTGGGTTCCCTTACAGGCCTGCACATCCCTTCGTTCTCCAGGAACTTTGTTGGTGTCGGCTGTCTTCAGGACCTCGGCGTCACCACTACGTTCCCTGGTCACGAGCGGTACGCAGTCTGTACCGAGACCGCCTCAGGTGCCCCTCTTGCTACGTTCCCTCGGGACCCTGTGTCTGGCCTGTTTACGCTAGACACTGCTTCCCACCCAGCTGGCGTGTCTTCCTCCGGTCCTGCGTCCACCCAGGTTGCTGCGGCCTGCTCGTGTCGGTCGCTCACTCACCCATCGCTGTTGTGGCACCACTGCCTAGGCCTCTCAGTGGATAGCTGCCATGGAGCAGGAGATGGCATCTTGGAGGGCTACCGGCACCTACGTCGATGCAGTTCCCCCACCTAAGGTGAATGTAGTCGATGGCCACAGGCTCTTCAAGGTGAAGCGCCCCCCTGGAGAGCCGCATGTGTTCATGGCGCGCTACGTGGCTAGAGGCTTCAGTCAGCGAGAGGGGGTGGACTTCTTTCAGACCTTCGCAGCAGCGTAGATCTTTGCCTTACAACTAGATTGAGCTATGGACGACGATCGAGTGGACCACCACGAGACGGCACCCACACCAAGGCTGAAGTAG